ACTCTCTGCTCTCCTCCCCACTAATAGCTGATGTGCGGTGAGCGTTCTGGTGCACTATGGCTGCTGTCACATCATCCAGGTGGATGCTGCACATTGGTGCTGGTGGAGGGGAGTCCCCATTACCTGTAAAGCGCTTTGAGTGGAGAGTCCAGAAAAGCGCTATATAAGTGTAAGCAATTATTATTATGTGTAATCTAAACTGGAGACTCTCGTAATGAGAAAAGGAAAGCATTAATACATAGCTATGGAATCTGTCTGATTTCAAACAAGCAGTGGTAGTTATACTGTGGCGTATATAATTGAAGCTTTTAATTGGTCTCAGTGTATTTCAATAATCATCAGCAAAAAATGCATTTCAGTATACTGTACTTATAACTCTTTTATGCATTATGACTTTGGAGAAAGTTGGGTGGAGCAGTGTTTGAACTCTGGCCTTTTAATTGAAACTGTTCCTCACTGCAGAAATGTAGAAGCATGACTAATAATACAACTTGAAATATGCAGTGTCCATATTGGATAACTAGGAGGATTAAAATTTACTAGGAAGGTAACTAAAAGACACACAGAACTTATTATATCTTAGGAAAGCTTATTTGTGATGTCCCAACTGTGTGTGCAGCCAGATTTGGAACTAATTCTAAAATGCAAACCTGTAACATATTTACCTGTTGTCTAAATAGTTAGTTATGCTTATTGGCTCATAAATTAGAGTCTTTAGTTATCACTGTATTATGTGATACAGTACTTGTACTGTTTTCCCAATTATTTAATTTTTGAAATGTAATCACTTGTGTAAGAGTCTATTTTTGCTAAATCGCATGAAAATAAAATAAAGAAATAACAACTATTATTTTTTTCTAAAATGTTTCAAACCTGATAACACATTTTCTCAAAGCAACACTATCAGTTCAGAAGATAATTAATGAGATAATTACATTTTTACCATATTAAGAAAAAATACAGGTTTTGGTACAAGATTTGAATTAGTTCTGAAACTTAAAGTATGCATTCACTAATATTACCATCCAGCCATTTTATAACTTATCCAAAGCAAGGTGGGATACACCCTAAATGGGATGCCAATCCTTCACAGCACACACACAGACACAAACAAGTATATATTCACACCAAGGTCAATTTTCCCAGAAGACAATTTTCCTACCAGTATGTATTTGAACTATGGGAGGAATCCAGAGCTCCCAGAGGAAACCCATGCAAACATGGACAGAACATAAAAACTCCATGCAGAAAACACCTTGTAACTGACCCCAGGGAACCAGTGATACAAGACACCAATACCAACCATTGTGTCACCAGCTTCCTATTAGTACTTGATATAAAAACACAAAATACGAACTGCATAGGCTGACATCTAGATTTATGTTAAAGCTTTGAATTAATTAAGTCTCAGTGACATTCATTAAGCAGCAGACCAAATGTAATAGCACATAGAGATTGTATTCAGAAACAGAAAAAAAGTTTTGAAACATCCAGTATTGTTTGTTCAACTAGTTATTTACTGGTTAGAATGGAGGAAATGTTTGTGAAGGAGGTTAGCTTATCCTCCTTGGAGTTTTTAGATTGGAAGTCTTAAATATTAGAAAATGAGAATGAGAACCTAAAAAAGAGAGGAAAGGTGTATTTAAATGGATATGAAATGAAATGGACAAAGAAGAAATTGTGGTTTAAGAAAAACGCTGTGAAACTAATCTGTTGCAATCCACATAATGCATTTCATGATACCCATACTATTGTTTTAAAACAAAGCAAAAATAATACATTTTAATGTAAACTGATTCAAAAGCAAGTATTTTTTTAGCATGGAAATATAATACAATAATATACTTGGAGGCCATATTTTTCTTAATCTAAAAAGGTATATTGTTCCTTCTGATATTGTTATGATAATGTTATTATGAAAGATAGGATACAGATAACTTATGAAGCAAAATAATTATACTTTTTTGTGTGCAAGAAACTAAAGAAAACACATTCTCACTAAATTAGATGCTGTTAAAACAATGAACATCTAGAGAAACTGGACCATTAGTACTCACTAAGGGTGTGCATGGGGTCCAGTATTCAGGATTCAGTTCAGCCCGGGATCGAAGGTCCAGATATTCAGGATTCAGTTCAGTTCGTGCTCGGGTTAATGTTCCCTTCATAGAAAAGTCAAGAAAACTCTGTTAACCTTTTATGTTTTTTTATTATACATCAGGTGGGATGAGGTTGCTTCTGAAGAAATGATGTAAGGCAAAGTAGAGCCTGTTCAATAAGAAGCTTGGAAAGGAAATAAGTTGTGTTTAGCATTAAAAGCATCTGACTCTTCATTGTGAGTTTATATGTTGTCTCTCCTAAACCTAAGAAACCATCTTAATGTGTTAGTCATCTTAATTTTTTTCTAATGCCAAATCACAAACAATTTAAGATGATTTGACGTTTGTGCATACCCCAGTGACTCAGTGGTGTCATCTTTTATATGGTATAAATAAAAGTTAAAACAGGAAACATAAGTCCAGTTAAAATGTCAAAATACATTACTTAATCCAGTTGTAATACTGGGTTTGTGATATTACAATTGGTCATTGGTCATGTACTGATTATGTAAAATAGACACAAGAATATTAAGTATATTATAAAAAGAACACAGTAAATCTTATTTCCATATTTAAATTTAATAATATTAACATAACTCTTTTTGTAAAGAAACTGATGAGGACACTGCTTGTTTGCATGTAAAACCTAAGGTCTGATAATGGTGTGCATAAATATGAGTTTTATTCTGGTTCAGTTAAAACAATAAGTGTAATATTAAACAAGCTGGTGGCAATGTATTAGATTTGAATCGATTTATCTTAATCTACATGTTTTATGAAGTTTAGCTAATATCAAAAATAATATACTGTATTAGGACAATCGGGAGAACATGAATTTCAGTTTATAGCCATGCATTATATAGTATTTCAAATCCAAAAAATAGTCATAAGTAAAAGTAACATATCTAATTTTAGTTATAATTATAGTTTTAATTGAATTTTCAGATCAGATTATATTAATCCTGGCAGATTCAACAGAACAAGACAAAAATAAATAAATGGTACCAATATGAATAGTAATATATATATATATTGATATCCATCTATTTCTGTTATTTAGAAAAAATGAGGAGAGATAAGTTTAGTTATGTTATAGAAAAAAAGTCAGCTTGCTCCATAGCATTTTCAGTTACAGTTATTTATTGTCCGGATATTCCTCTTATTTTAGAAAGAGAAAGATAAGCAAATTACCAGGCCTACAAATGAAGCATTCTGGATATTTTCAAAGGTTGGATGCTCACCAGATTGGTTAGAAGTCAGGAGTATATTAATGGAATTCTTAATTGACTTTGTATTTCCCTGCCTAATTTGGATTTTCATGCTGTGCCACTTGTCTTTCAAGTTTTCATGTCAACTTTACTCAATAATTTAGTTTTATTCCATCTAATTTCCATATATGTTTAGGAATTCCTGCACTGTAGCAGAGCAGCACAGTAAATACAAGTAACATTGTGTATTACTGAAATCCAGAACTCAGTTTAAGAGTGGAAAAAACAAAGAAAAATAATATTACTTTGCTGGAATTTACTTAACTTTTTTTAGGTTTCAAATATGCATTTACACTTAAGTGTATACATTGGTTACCAATAAAGTCACATATTCAATACAAGATCCTGTTACTGACTTTTAGGCTTTAAATAATCTGGCTCATCATACAGTACATCTCTGAACTTCTCCATGTTTACACTCCTTTCCTGGAGTATAGGCTCTGTACACTCAAGGCTGTTTTTGTGCTCATGGTTCCTAGGACTAAATCTCGGAGCTTTAGTGACTGTGCTGTTTCTGTCACTGCTCCTTTATTATGTATTATGGAATGCCCTTTCCCCAAATCTTTGATATACAAATTATTTGACTCTCATTAAATCTGAATAACCTTTTTACTAGGGCCGATGTCTGATTTTTTTTGTCATCTTCTTTATCGCTATGTATAGCGTCCTTGGTTTGGAAAGGCACTTAATACATAAAAGTTAATAATCTTACTTTCAGTTATTCTATTTTTTTTCTAATGGTTAATGAACAAGTAATCGTAATCTTGCTTGTGTCTAAATGTGTTTGATGAATTTTTAATTTAAAAGTTGTTCATCATCATAAAAGGTAAAGACCATATTACAATATTTCAATGTGGTGCTTTTTATAAATCTGTACAAATCATAATGTTGCTATAGAAAATATACATTTGGTGCACGCACAGTATTTCTATATGGTAGAGAAAGACCAGAAGCTTTTCGATCAATGAGAATTAACAATCAATTCCACCAACATCGATAAAAAAGAAAATGTAAATGCATTGTGCATACATCAAAATAAATTATTTAATTCCCCAAAATAAGGCATCTTATCAGAAAACAGTGTAAATATGATGCATGTTTTCTATCTTGGGTACCAGTACATGTATTTCTAGCAGAAATGGAAGAAATTTAGTTTAGTTCCAAAACCCCTTTTTAATTTTACATGGTCTTGGGCTCGGTGATTGAAAATTAAAAAAAAAAACATCTGAAGTGAAAATATTGCCCTGTAACGTATGATGTATGCTGTAATTATCTGCTGATTTACAATATCACTATGTGTAATGAGGCTGTGCCTCACACACCTCAAATATAAATCAATGTCTTCTTGTGAAAATGACCAAAGTCATAATGAATATAAATAGTGAAGGAGCTTTAACAGATATTTTCCTAACCCTTGCATTATATCACATTCTAGAACTATTTCCACATTAAGAGCTGATTTCTGAAAGTAAACCAGCAATATCTAACATCCAAGGATGGTTATTTGTCTCTTTTCTATAATAAATCAGATAGATACTGAGAACACCCACACAAAGAAGTTTAATTAATGTCACGGTGACCTATGCAGTTTTCCAGTTAGAACAAAAGCATATCAGCAATCTTATGCTTCAAACAATCTATTAGATTTTTGCATTTGAAAGCAAGTTCCCATTAAGTTTAAAACCCTATCTAACTGGCAAAAAAAATCGATCACCTCTGTGTCCACATATAAATGGTCTGAAAGGCCAAAAATAACTACATGTTTTATTAAATGTTAATATTTAAAACCTTCAGTGGTATGGTAACCTCCAAACCAAAGATCAAAGGCAAGATGCTCAAATTACACTTTTGTACAATTACTTGTACAATTACTTACCAACGTGTCTGTTCTTCTTAGAGTGATAAAGCTACAAATGTTTTTCCATTTATGAGCAAATTGAATTTAACTAATTGAAATGATTCATCCTTCTCTTCCAGGTTACAGCCAAGCTCTATCCTGCATGCCTGTATTATGTTCCAATATTACAGATATTTTAAAGCATTATTTTCTCAGTTGATGTTATGTATAAAGGGAGTTATAGTTAAACATTATTTCCTATAAATATCTAATGGGCTGTTTATAGTTTACAGATCTACCAGTTTTAATTCAGTGAGCAGTGCAATGCTCATACATCATGGTACATCATGGTAGTTTCTTACTTGCATATTTAAAATGTATTTACATACACAAAGTAATGTAATTTAAAAAGGTATAGAAAAAAAGATAATGCCAAAATTGTAATAAGAAAAAAGTCATAAGCTAAAATAAAAAGAAATCCACTATATTCTGAATATATCTGTAAGATTGAAGGATATAAAAAAAATCACTTAAATCATATCTTGTTCAGGATTTTTGAAGCATATATTGTATAATTCAGAGCAGTTTTTCTCTGCTGGTATATTTGAAACCCTTTTCTCTTTAAAAAATGGGAAAGCTTAATGATTTTTGTAAAAATATATTAATATGAACAATGTGATTCAAACTTCAAAAGACTCCCAAACACACAAGCACAAACCACTCCTAGTAACATGGGATAAGTGATGTTGCAAAGGGGACATCATAAGGAGGGCAAACTGTACAGTGAAATAAACATCTTAGAAGGAAAAAGAAAAAAAGGGAAATATGCCAGACAAGATGGCATTAAGAGAGGGTAGTTATAAAAATACTTCTCTGTTGAGCTCATGGCAAAGCAGTAAATATTATTTTTCAGTGTTCTTTTTGGACATATAAGTCTAGACGTGGAAAAAGAATAAATGTTAAGTAACCTAGAGCTTGACCCCTTCAGTTTGCTGCCCTCTATTAGGAAAATGATCAACAGTTTCTTAATAAGAAAAAAATACATATTTAGTAAAACCAAAAGCATCAGCATTGCATAAACATATAAGCAGAGTTTCACTAATGCATATTGTTCCTGCAAGTATGACAGAAGAAACAATGGAATGATTATTAGATTTTTCCAGTTTTAGTTAGATTACTATCCTATCGAAATTACAGATGGCTAGACATCATTCCTTTTAAATGACTGTTGTTTATTAGTGATAATAAAAATGACACAGCAGGAGCATTATATAAACATTGTTAGAGAATGCCTTCACCTTTTAACCTTAAATTCAACCTATAGCTAAATGCTTATGTGAAACTAGAATCTGTATACCTTTATTGTTCATTGAACCTGTTGTTTTATGTGACAAGTCTCTTCATTATAATTCAAGACAGAGCTGTTTTATTAATTAGAATGTATTAAATCTCCAGCAGCACTACACTTGCTGATGTGTCACCTGCACTTCTTTTTGATTGAAGAGCACAATCAAAGCACAAAAGCTGGCTCAAAATTTAATTGAAATTTTGCTTGACCTACACAATTATACTGCATGACAATTAAACTATGAGTACAGCAATAACAATATATTGCTGTTTTTTTCTCTAATTTTGCCATGCTTCAGCTCAGCACTTTCAATTAAAAATATATAAATAACAACTTAGAAACTTTAAATATTACTGAAAGCTAACATTGGTGAAAGCTATGATGGAACTGTATAGCTTCTCTAATTTTACTTTAATTGTTCAGCAGAAGCCTTTTTCAGAACCAGTCAATTCAACTACTTAAGTAACCTACCTATTTCTTGAGAACTGGATAATAACATGAATGTATATTTAAGAGAAATAATATAGATGTGTTAAAAATACCAAAGATAACTAAAATCATCCTCTAAACATGGTTATTATTAGGAGTATTATTAGTACTGCTAGTATTA